TCAGTAACCATGGTTTCCCCACTAACCTGGTTTGTTAGGGAAAAGTCCAAATGATATACATACATATTTAATTATGTTACTTCAATGCTGCCTGTCTTAATGGGTACCATGGATAATGAAGATGGATATACGCTATGAGAGAAATGTTGCCTACTCTTCATTTAATTCCAACTGTTAAGGGATCTTTTACACGGAACATCGATTTGACGTCTCGTCGGAGACTTTTCCAGATTTTCCTTCCTGTGCAACGGACACGTAGAAACCAGGATTGGAAATCCTTTACTCACTGAGCTAGTAGTAGTAGTAGTAGTAGTAGCGTGGTTCTTTTACGTCTGCTTCCACTAAAGTGATATTGTAGACAAAATCTAGGGGAGCAATCTTTCCATTTACGGCCTTAAGCCATGGAGTGGTTTAGTGGGAAGTTCTTCCCTTTATTTAACAGCATTTATATGCGTTTCTTCTCTGGATTGGTATATATCATCTTTGTCGGCTACCGTGATTCTATTCTTATATAGGAGTCTCAATTAGGAATGAATATAACAGTGAAATGAAATGGGGTTTAATGTCCTACTGTTTTATTTCGTCTGGGATAATGAAGACGGGCATACGCAATACAGTGTGCAATGAGGGAAATTTTGCCCGGACAGCGGCACTACGGCCTACTCTTATATCGAATTCCAACTGTCAAGGGGTCTTTTACGTGCACGCCAATGTGCACATGGGAACTCGCTTTTTCGTCCCATCCTAACGACTAGACAGCTGTCCTTGTCAGGCCCTCCGTCCTGCATCACTGACAGGGGAACCACGCCGGAAAATATGGATGAACTTTCTCGGCCAATGCAGGGATCGAACACCCGACCTCCAACCGAGCGAGTCATATCAGTGACATATAAACGTCTGTTTCTATGCCATTCTATAAATATTTACCAATAAAATAAAAATACAAAATTATTCCAATTTATTCGGGTATTATTGTCAGTGGACATATTCTAAAATGTCAATCCTCTATAATATGGTTGAAAATAAATTAGATATACATTGAAGATTAACGTCAATAATTTGATCATTTGGGAGATAACATTTGATCATTTCTAAGGTTACGGTACGTTTGCAATATTTTCTGTGCGTTTTATGCAGTATGCCATGTGGTATTTCCGCCTATACACTTCACCAAAGCTTTTTTTTTTAACGTTCTAAGTTGTATGCAAAATTAGGAAAGTAAAAATAGTTTCGTGATGTGTGTTTTTTGGGGTTTTTTTTAACCGGAAATGATGTGTAGTGGAATAATGTTATGGTAGTTATCAGTAACCATGGTTTCCCCACTAACCTGGTTTGTTAGGGAAAAGTCCAAATGATATACATACATATTTAATTATGTTACTTCAATGCTGCCTGTCTTAATGGGGACCATGGATAATGAAGATGGATATACGCTATGAGAGAAATGTTGCCTACTCTTCATTTAATTCCAACTGTTAGGGGATCTTTTACACGGAACATCGATTTGACGTCTCGTCGGAGACTTTTCCAGATTTTCCTTCCTGTGCAACGGACACGTAGAAACCAGGATTGGAAATCCTTTACTCACTGAGCTAGTAGTAGTAGTAGTAGTAGCGTGGTTCTTTTACGTCTGCTTCCACTAAAGTGATATTGTAGACAAAATCTAGGGGAGCAATCTTTCCATTTACGGCCTTAAGCCATGGAGTGGTTTAGTGGGAAGTTCTTCCCTTTATTTAACAGCATTTATATGCGTTTCTTCTCTGGATTGGTATATATCATCTTTGTCGGCTACCGTGATTCTATTCTTATATAGGAGTCTCAATTAGGAATGAATATAACAGTGAAATGAAATGGGGTTTAATGTCCTACTGTTTTATTTCGTCTGGGATAATGAAGACGGGCATACGCAATACAGTGTGCTATGAGGGAAATTTTGCCCGGACAGCGGCACTACGGCCTACTCTTATATCGAATTCCAACTGTCAAGGGATCTTTTACGTGCACATGGGAACTCGCTTTTTCGTCCCATCCTAACGACTAGACAGCTGTCCTTGTCAGGCCCTCCGTCCTGCATCACTGACAGGGGAACCACGCCGGAAAATATGGATGAACTTTCTCGGGCAATGCAGGGATCGAACACCCGACCTCCAACCGAGTGAGTCATATCAGTGACATATAAACGTCTGTTTCTATGCCATTCTATAAATATTTACCAATAAAATAAAAATACAAAATTATTCCATTTTAATCGGGTATTATTGTCAGTGGACATATTCTAAAATGTCAATCCTCTATAATATGGCTGAAAGTAAATTAGATATACATTGAAGATTAACGTCAATAATTTGATCATTTGGGAGATAACATTTGATCATTTCTAAGGTTACGGTACGTTTGTAATATTTTCTATGCGTTTTATGCAGTATGCCATGTGGTATTTCCGTCTATACACTTCACCAAAGCTGCGAACGGTTCTTTTACGTGCACGCCAACCATTTTCCCGTCTGAAGGACTAGAGCAAATCCTGAGGAACCTTTCTGCCTCAACATGGCTGATCGGTTTCAATTGGCAAGGATTCATCGAACGGATGTACCTCGGCAACTACCTGGGTCGTACCCGAGACATCCTTCTTAGGGAACCAACGTTACATTTACTAGGCCACCATGAAACTACCAGAAAATAAACGTTGTTAAAAGAAGTCAAAACGTTCATGGGAATACATGATTTCTGAAAACGGTGTGCTAATAAAATTATTGTGTAGTGCAGTGGACCCTTTCTAAAGAACGTAGCGTATTACTGATTATTTTTTTACTGTTTACGTTTTCCATAAGGCGTATTCAAATCGTTGTATGGACCGAATTACTTAGTAGTAATTGAAAATGTGTTTTGGCGAAGGAAGTTAATAATATTGACACTGGAATATATCCTATCTTAAAGCAACGTGGCTAATCTAACTTTTTGCTATTACTTACCATGATAATGGCGTATATAAATATTGGCCCATATCCTAACACACCTTACAATGGCTGATTAAACTTTATTTAAAAATTACTGAACAATCTATTTTAAAAGATAGTGTGAATGTGCGGCTTTAAGAATAAACAGCCCATTGAAAAGTCTCATTAAAACGCCATTACAAAGTTTAGATTACCCTTACGGTCAAAGAAAACATGGCGAGAAATTGGTTCGGGGCAGACACAGAAACCATATTGGGAAAACTTTTTTTCCCGCTTTAAAATGGCTCTGTTAATTGAAAGTGCAAACAAGAATGTCTGGTAGTATGTTTGTGAGGAACCTTAAGGCGATTGTAAGATTGAGATAATATTATAAGTGTAAATTGGATTCGATTGAAAACTAACAAAAGGTCAAGATGTTGTGGTACTAATTTTACAACTCAATTCAACATGTAGATCATTTTATAGAGTTCGTGTTCACTGTGTACCTCTTCAATAAGTGGGTGTCTATTTCAAGTCAATCATTTTCTGTGGTGCATTTAAACTGAATGTTTATCTAAAATATCAGTTGTAAAATGAAATTGGTTTAAGCATGTTTTGAAACTAAAATGTAATTTATTTTTATGTTTACGCGTGCGATGCATAGAACTATTCGCTTTATCAAATACTGTATTTACATCAATAGTAATTCCTTGGTAACGATTTTCTAAGAAACGCCAATTAATGCCACACGGTGCCAGAATAATAGTTAAAGTACGGACAAGCTAATACACAGAACGCGACAAGCTAAAACACCGTTCTGGACAAGCTAATAAACAGTACTGGACAAGCTAATACACTAACGGTGTATAAAGGTTGTCATTTTTTTTTTAAATGTTATGAAATTTGTAAAAAATGTTTTTGTACTGGACAAATGAAAACCGTACGCGTAAGCGAACACAGAACAGAAAATCAAAAAAGTCTAAACTGTCCGCCACGTGAACATGCCGCTGGATATTGACAAGAAGTGCTACTGGGTGTTCCAGAAAGAGTATATATACCCTTCCTGGGATCATCGGGGCCTGTACCCGTCACAACTAGTAGTTAAGAAACTACACAATTTTCAAAAGAAACTCTTCACCATTTCTAAAAGTTTAACTCGTATTCTGCACAGATAAATCCTTTTTGACAAATTTACCATCCTACAATGATCTATGGGTGATTGTATTTCTTAAATCGGGTTTTGCTGCGAAAGATTTGTTGATGTTTAGATTTGTAATATCGTTGCTATTATTCGTTAATAAGCTCCATATTATAGTCTATTTACTGTAACATATCGGAATACAGTATAAATATAGCTTCAGTGAATGAAGACCATCAATATTTATATCGACTAAACCAATTTTATCTAAATACTGGGATTATCTAGATAGTTGAACCGACTACCGTTATAACAAGATTACAGGATAATAGGAGACAACTGCATAAATCTTGGAGCCAATACGAGTTGCTTCCCTTTTTACTGACCAATTCAAGACATTCCAGGGAAACCGCAAAACACTAGTCAATACATGGATCCAAATACTATTTTAAGTTCTCCTTAATTTGAAGTCTCCAAATGACAATTCATATCTTAGCCTGCACAAATCTTTACTGATCTTTCAAAAACAATTTCCAGAGCTAGAACTAAACTCAAATTGCCAGAATCATTAAAGGTTTAGGTGCTTTCCGAAATGGCCGAATTGAAACGACCGTTTCTTTTCCAGTCCCGAAAACCGGTCTGAGTAGCATTGTTACGTAATGACATGTTCCAGCTACGGAGATTAATAGAGACAGTATCATTTTCAGGTGAATTGGCACATGTCTGTTTCTGAAATTCTCTTACAACTTTATCCAACTTTTTAGTGTTAGAATTGGATTCCAGAACATTCAATCAAGTATCCCCATATAGCACAAGTCACTTTATATGCAAAATATATATCATCAATCCAAACAATATCAATGACTGAGGAACAGAAGAAAATACTTATATCTTTTATCTGAGATATTATCAATTTAACATAACAATCACATGATTAATAGTTTAATTATTAGAGACATTTTAAATGTCTTTATATACAACAAAATATATAAACATGTACATTAGACTATAACTATTATAACAATTTACATGCTGTCACCTCTCAATATCATTTAGAGACTAAAATCATTTAGTCATTTGTGCTTAATTAACTTGAAGACTGGGCGGTGGGGTGGGGTTGGGGGGAATAAATTGTTAAAAGAGTGACTACTCATATCTAATGTTTAAATATTTAAACTACAGATGATTCAACTTGTGATTCCTTCAATATGTAAACATTCCAGTGTAAAATATGGTAGACATCTTGTTTCTATAGTTGTATCACCGACATGAACATTTCTTACCTCCAACTCTAAAATAATTCAAATATAATAATTATAAATAATAACCTTAGATAGCAGTCCAGAAACATAATAATTTCATTACTAGACCAACTTACTGTCCATGCTACTACAAAACATCAAGTTAAAAAGGAAATTTTAAAACATTTAACCCCGGATGCCTCTTCGCCACATTTTAATTTTAAAAATTAGTTGACTAGATAATTAATGGCCAGGATAGCAACATCATATGAAGTCCATATCACTAAGGGGGTTTGGGTGGCCGAATGGTTAACGCATGCATGTTGGATCAGAGTATCAGACAATCTGTCCTTGAGTCAAGTGACGTGGTTTCGATTCCTCGCTTGTACGTGAGAAGGAGTAGGGTCGCCTGTAAAACATTGAGGGTTTTCTCTGGGTCCTCCGGTTTCCCCCCACTGCTAAAGACCCCTACACGCAAGCGATTTATTGAAATAAAATTGAAACATTTTAGTCCCGAAATGACCTAGTTTTTGTCGAGTGGATGTTACACCACATTTCTCTCTCGGTCTCATCTCACTAATTTAAGTTCAATATCATTTACTATCAATTGAATCACAAGTTAAACATACATTATGCAAGAGCTAAATCTGTTTATTGCAGGTCTTTCTTTAGGCCTGAAATGTTATCTAAATTATTAATTAGACATTAATTAACCTATCAAGATCATAATCTTTAGTGGATTATGAGCCGATTTACTGCATAACTTTCCGTCACGATTTAACGATTAAATGGATAATAGAGACTATGCTGTTTATCATACTGACTTTAGTAATGATGATCGAGGCTAGGCGGAAATTTCAATCGCTCAGTTCTCGGTTCATAGTGGATCAATTTGAATGAAATTTTCAGCAAGTTGCCTTTACATTATCTAGTTTTTAACTATTATAGTCAGAACTGCCAACTCGTTATCGAATCTCCCATAATGTATCTTTAATGGGTGTATATTTAACAATATTGTAATACCTTCTAAAGATACGTGATTGTAGTTTTGGGTATAAAATGGTTTTAATGTTAAACACCAAAGTCTACTTGTAATATAACCATTACACAATCTTTGTACAAAGGTGGCAATATCAGTATCCTGATAGACGACTGAAAACTAATTAAAACACAGATAAATTCAACTATTCTACAATAGACAACTATAAAATATACAGAGATGCAATTAAAACATACCACAGATTTAACTGGAAGTGCTAAGGAGACTTAACGCAGCTGAGATTTGTAGCGTCATTGTAGGCAGGATATATTTACATACACAAGAAAGTCAACAACATCCTAGGGAAGCCAAAGAGAAATTACTCTGCATGGCTTGGATGGCTTGCAGCTTTCTACCGACATATTTTAGATTAGATTTTTCAAAACATAGTGAATTTTTGTAACTCATTTATCTCGCTTGATTTGAGTTTCAAGGGAGTGATAGGTGGTTTGTTTACAACTTAGAAGATTTTGTAATAAAATGTACCATAATGCAGACTTTTTTAAATTTATTTCCAAAGATCTTCCATATGTTCCAATTGAAAAGCAACTGAGTAGATATTTCTAGGTATTTAATTAACATATTGGGCTGAATTAAAAGAACTAACTACATATCACAGAAAAGATAAGTTGCCAGGCAACCAACATGTGGACAACAGCTGAGTCATTAGAATCCATGCACTTTATATCATAAGATCTGTCATTGAATCAAGTGGTGTGGTTTCGATTCACCCACATGTACGTAGCAATCAATAGGGTTCTCCAGGTTCTCTGGTTTACTCCCACTGTTAAAGATGCCTACGTGCAAGCGGCTTATTGAAATAAAATTCTTTCATATTAGTCCCGGAATGATCTAGTTTGTGTTGAATGGACTTTAAACCTCATCTCTCCCTCTCTATACATATTATTCAGAACTATATTCAACTAAAATATAAATTAAAAATAAACATTACTTACATTACTGATGTAAATTTCACCAATGTCTTGAATTTCATCTAAGAAACTTTCAATTTCCTCTTTATTTAAATTAAAAAAAGTCTGTACTTTTTCATCTTCAAGTGTTAGAAATGTCTTGGCAACTGTACTTCCATCATCAATCAGAAAGCTATAAAAATTATATATACTTGCCTGCCAGATTACAAAACAATTTGGGTTGTTTATCTAAATTCATAAAATCTACTTTCTGTTAACAAATGAAAGGGAGTTAAATGTCCTACCTTTCTGCACCAACTGGGATAATGAAGGACATGTGCTATGAAGTCGTTGCAAGTGACATTTTGACTGGGCAGAGGCGTTTCCTGTTTGCCCACTCTTTTACAAACTCCTGCAAATTAGGATGTTAAACCCCTCTTCATTTTTTCAAATTCCAATTACACCCAAATATGCCCCTGCTTCAATTAGATTGTGCTGATATGGAAGCCAGCCAGTGCCAATTCCTAAATCAATATGATTTTCTGCTATTAACTACAGACAATAAATAACCATGGTTTGACCGCTGCAAAATTTTACACAAGTTATATGCTTCTCTACAGCTATCGAGTGAGCATAAAAGTTCAATTTTGTCACCAAAAAAAATCTATGAATTTGAACTAAAATAACATATTTAGCATAATGACCACTCAAATAAAGAAACATGGTAGTAATGGTGATAGTCAGTGGTCTTCTAAAGATAATCAGCATGAAATGACACACCAGATTTTTTCTGAACCTAAGCAAATGAAATGAATTTCATTCGATGGAAAAACAAAAACAATTTCATCTGATTTTGAAGATCAAATATTTTTTTGATTGATGCCAGTGAGAAATGGGTTTAAGTGTTGACTTACCTGATTTTACCAGTAAGTTTATATGCTGTGTTTTTACAACAAGGATTAGAACATGTTGATTGTTGTACTCGACTACCACATATACAACATATACTCTCTAATCTCAAATTTAATATCTGATAAATACGACAGCAACATTTAAATACACACATATCTTTCTTGTTAATGACTTCTAGAAGATATTCATATCTTATACAATTTATATCATCGATGCATTGCTTTTTATCCTCAAACCTGAAATAAAACAAAACATCCTTATTATAACCACATCATAATAGCAATGAAGTTGTATTTTGCACACTGGCTCAGTGAGTAAGACATTGACTCACTAACCAGGAGGTCCTGGGTTTAATCAAAGTGTTGGCCGAGAAAGTGTCTTAGGATTTTCCAACCTGAATTCAACTTGTCAAGTGAAGTGGTGTAGGATGCAGGACAAGAACAAAGCTCTCGGTTGTTTGCATGGGGAAAAACCCAGATTCAACCATGTACTCGTACAGGTATATATCATTCCATTTGTGCCAATATGGGGGGGGGGGGCGAACGTGTCACCTGTGACGAAGGATACTGTCATCACTTTATAAAAAAAATAAAATATCTATGAATGTGAAAGGATATTTTTCTACTTTGATGTAAGGAAGTATATTTTCTGACCTAGAGCACCCCCACCCCCGCTTAGAAAAGTACAGGTCACAGGTGCAGGGATGCGAGGATGAACAGAAGGCACATTAAGGAAAAAAAGGTACATTGTGATTAATACACACCCCTGTGACCTGTGTACTCGTTGACATGTAAATAAAACCTTGACAGTTGGAATTAGATGACAAGTAGGGGGAATGTTAATCTCCGGACAAAATATATCCCCCATGGCCCAGTTGGTGCATGCATAGGTAAACATACCACTAACAAACTAAGCATGTATTTATTCTAAGTTTCATCATAGTTATACTTATGTTTGACACTGACATATTGCCCAACCACATGTTTCACTTCTGTTGGTGTAAAAGAGGATGTAGATGGCACAGGAAGGTAACTGAACATGAATGATATTTCTATATACTCAAATAAGGATTCACTATTATAGTTCCTGGCTTGCTGAACTGGAAGTGTTGACTGAGAAAGTGCTTCAACTTTTTCTAGCATAGTTTCTGGCAAGGCACAGTGTCTGTCTATTTGTTCGGATGAGACGACAAACTTAAAGAGAGAGAGAAATGGGGTGTAACATCCACGACAAAAACTAGGTCATTTCGGAACTAACATATGGTTCAATTTTATTTAATTAATTCGCTTCGGCATTGGGGTTTTTAGAAGTGGGAGGAAACCGGAGGACCCGGAGAAAACCCTACTCCTTGTCATGTAAAAGTGGGGAATCGAACACAAACTTAAGGTCCTGTGCATATAAAAGAACCTTTAAAAGTTGGAATGCAGTTGTCCAGGCAAAAATTCCGCGGCCTGGTGTATGCCCATTTTCATTCACCCAGTTGGAGCAAAACAGTAGGATGTTAACCCCATTTCATTTTATTTTCATAGTTTATACGTACCTTGTGTTATGTGATGTAGATCTAACAGACAGTATTTTATAACTTGATACCATGATATATTGACAATACACTATACCACGTTTAGATACTTTTCTTTCTAATCTCTCAAACTTTACTACAGTACCAGGTAATAATCCTAGTGGATAAGATGTCCGTTCTAGTTTTAAATAAACAGTTACATCCGAATCAGAATTTAATGATTTTATCTGTAGTTGTACACATTGGTTTCCTACCATCGAAACACCTATAAAATATTAGAACATAAAAAAAAATTTTGAACATAATTATAATTTTTTCTACCTTGTTTTCAAGAAAAATATCTCAAAATTAAACAAAATTACAAAAGTATTTTATGGTCCACATATGTTGATTCTCAGGCGGTTATTTCTTAAAATATCACAAAACAGGTAGAGGTGGAGATTTACCCAGTTCGGAAATCTTGCTAAGCCTCTGTCACAAGCATGTGTTAAAAAAGTATACCATTCAAACACCAAAAGTGATCGCTAGATTTACTTACTTGTATTGCGTAACTCAATTAAGGAATATAATTTTTCGATTGTATGAGTTTTCTAATAATTGTGAAGATCAATTACCTCTAAAACTTAGACAAGTATTATATAGACATGGCTATATCCACTTTGGGATCAAATGGAAATTCGGAACTTATTGCCAAACGCATATGGAAACTGAAAGTTTTAATTTCTGCAAAAGAGCAAGAGAGAAATGGAGTTTAACATCCACTTGACACAAACTAGGTCATATCCGGAACTAACTTATGTTTCAATTTTATTTCAATAATTCGCGGGGAATCAAAACCATGCCAAGTGACTCAATGACAGACTTTCTGATCTAACTGGCACACGTTTTAACCATTCAGTCACCCAAACCACCTTTAGGCAAAGAGGTACATTACTTAGATAAAGGTAGTTGCCGCTGTGGCTCAGCAAATATGGCAATAATTTACATAACAGATCCCAGGTTTGATCCTGGTGCTGGCAGAAAAAGTTCAGAAATGAAATTAAATGAAATGAAATGGAATGAAAGGGGTTTAACGTCCTACTGTTCTGCTCCGACTGGGATAATGAAGTCGGGCATACGCCATACATATGCTATGAGGGAAATTTTGCCCAGACAGCTGCACTACGGCCTACTCTTATATTCCAGCTGCCAATTGATTTTTACGTGCATGCCAATGTGTTCACGGGACCTCAGATTTTCCTCCCATCCGAACGACTAGACAGCTGTCCTTGTCAGACCCTTCGTCCTGCACCACTGATAAGAGAAAACCACACCGGAAAATCACGATGAACTTTCTCGGCCAACATCGAGAACCTTTTTAGAGAGGTCTATTTATTTCCATGCACATAAAAGAATCCTTGCCGACTACGAATTTAATGAAGAGTACATAGAAATGTTCTGTTCAGGCAAAACTTCCCTCATAGCACACTACACTACATAAACTGTTCTTCATTAGCCCAGAAAACTATGTAGGACATTAAATCAAATTTTATTTCAAGAGTCTTTCACATGGAATTAACACAGATCCAATTTCCTTTCATTTTTTATAGTTCAAATTTTGTTTTACTTGTCTTGACTACACTAGGATCTGGAAGAGTTGTTATATAATGCACGTTCTGGTTGATGTGAGGGATTAGCCAAAAACACAGTCTGTTGCAGCGAGTTCTTGGCGTTCAATGCACAGACATGTGAGTATCCTACTAGAAACATCAATGCTGATGTCATAGGGTCAAAAGCCGCTGGTATGACCCCTGACGTGACCTCCCAATACAAATGGTCAGATCTTCATGTACTTTTTTAATCGAAAGTTTAAAAAAACGAAACGAAATATAAATCTGTATTGTAATCAGATGGGAATTAACCAGTTGTATTCATTAAGATATACCTGGGACTACTCCTTTAAGGATCCATGATAGAAGATACTTACTAAGAAATCTCTGAGTTTCAGTCTTTAGCTTCTTGTCATTGAACCCAATACCTTTTGGTGGTAGACCAGAATCACAATGTTTTCTACCAGATATAATACCAACAACTGATACTAAAGCTTCTTTACAACTTTAATACAAATAAATAACATGTTACCTTTAGTGACAAAAAAACAATCTAATTTCAATTGCAAAGTGGGTATCTATTTACATTAAAACAATGAAAAGTCTAAATTCAATTGAAAAGTAGAAACCAGTATCGGATTGCATTAAAAAAAACATAGCCCTATGTTGTCTTAGTGGAGTATGGCACTGTCCTGTCACAGCGTTGGCTGAGAATGCTCTCCATAATTTATAAATGGTGCACTGAAAAACGAGCTCCATGTCCATACATAAATCAGAGGTTCTGACCCTTTCAACTGATTCGAAGTCAAAGATGGACACAAGATAGACTGAATACAGTAGCTAGGGTAATAAAAAACTTACCCACAAGACAAAACCTCCTCAATATTTTTAACACTATCTTTTTCAAGCTACAACATAAAAGTATATTATTAGTAAGCTTGAAATAAATTAGAATAATATTAAACTAAGAATTCATCATTTATATACTCTTCAAAAAAAGTAGGGGATATTGAAATGCAAATACCTATGCAAGAGAGAGAGAAATTGGGTTTAACGTCTACTCGACACAAATTAGGTCATTTCGGGACTAACATATGGTTTAATATTATTTCAATAATTCGCTTGCACGTAGGGGTATTTAGCAGTGGGAGGAAACCGGAGGACCCGGAGAAAACCAACGAGGTTGGACAGGAAATACCTATGCAGGTTGTGATATGACATGGACATTTGACATGCTTTGAGAGTATTTTCAGTTTATACACAGATAAAGAACTTATCGCCCTAACAGAACCACTGAACTGCACGTGCAACATGCAATAGTGCCATACAAATGGGAGGGGTTCGTTGTCAAATTTGACACTTTAGGGAAGGGTTGATGAAAACTGCCGTGTGCTGGTTTATCCTATCCATGTTTGCTTTCCTATCGGTTCTTGCATAAGATTTACTGTTTAGCGTATCTTTGCTTTAGTGTGTTACATTTAATTTGCAATGAGACGTCTTCAACCTGCTGTACGTCTACATGCTATTAGCATGCTTAAAATGGGTTCTACACAGCGAGCAGTAGCCAACATGCTTAATGTGTCACAGTCTGTGATCAGCAGACTGTCGAACCGTTACCAACAAACACACAATGTTGATGATAGACCTTGTTCAGGTTGTCCTAGAGCCACTACACAAGCCCAGGATCGATAAATTCGTACACAGGTCCTGTGAAATCGAGGACAAACAGCCAATCAGCTTTCTGTATACTTGTAACAAGTTACAGGAATTCGAGTTACACCCCAAACGATTAGAAATCAACTACATGCAGCCCATTTGCATGCGCGACGATCACGTGTTGTGCCTCCATTAACTCGCCAGCACATGGCAAACAGGCGTCAATGGTGTAGGCAGCATAGAAATTGGGGTAATCGTCGATGGGCGCATGTAATGTTCTCAGATGAGTCCAGATTTACTCTGGATTTCACCGATAGACGTGCTCACGTTTGGAGGCGTGTAAATGAGCGTCATGCTAACGTTAATGACAGATTCGGGTGTGGATCTGTTATGGTGTGGGGAGGAATCACCATGACTGGCAGAAAGAAAGAAAAACGCATTATAATGTATACCTCACGAGTAATCTTATCAAAGATTCTTATAAAATGGGCATCTGAAGGTACAGTAACTGTTAATCTGGCTTTAGAGTTCTTTATTGAATTCTTCACACGTCTACCCATAGCGGCGGGAACATTGTAATTGACATAATTTAGGTTACTAACTTCATACATTGATCCTGATTCCAAGATATTATACCATTTAACAGAAACATCTTGAAATATCAGTTCTACGGGTTCATACTTTGTATTAATATTATTTGTCGTGAGGTGATCGGAATTAATATTCTCGACAATACAACCCAGAATACTAAAACGTAAACTAAATTCTGTTTTCTTGGTCTCTGTTATTAACGATTCTTTATGACTAATCCATAAACATTTATGTCCATTCACAACTTTGTCTTCCTTTTTTCTCTTTGTTTCATCAGTTGAGTCTTCAGAATGACCAGAACTGCCTTGCACTTGGGAATGTTTGTTGGTTGGTGGCCCGTTTAGTTTATTTTGATTTTCATCTCTCAATTCACAACGTTCGTCTCCTATTCCTTTTTTGACTTCAGTAATTTGTTCAATACTTTCTGTAAGAAATTTACAGTCCATCATGGAAAATTGGAGATAAGCGAAGTGCTGAAATTCCTCAATGTTCTCTTTGCAAACAGATTCAATGTTTGAAAAGTGTCCTGTTAGAAATCGTTCGTTGACTATAGAATAAGAACAAATCGCTATAATCCGATTCAAGTTTTGTATTTGAACAAAAGGACAGTTTGACTTTGTTTGAGTTAAACACGTTTCATCACAGACATGAGTAGAAGTTTGTTCCGAGCTGGAAATAATAACATCTATTTTACTGCGATGATCTCTCAATAGCAGACGACCAGTTGTTTTACACAGATCTAGCCAACCAATAATTATCTATAAATAAACATGAAACATTTAGTGATATTCTTCATATAGAATATAGGACCATTTTACTACAGAGACTGAGCCAGCCTTGAGATTAGAGAGCCTAACTTGTGACAATATATTTTTGTTAAAGTAACAAAAATTATATCAATTCGGGACTAACATATGGTTCAATTATATTTCAATAATTCGCGTAGCAGTCTTTAGTTGTTGGACAGGTAACCATACTCCTCGCCATGTACAAGCGAGGAATCAAAACCACGCCACTTGACTCAATGACAGACCTGATTCAACATGCATACGTTAACCATTCGCTCCCGCTGCCCTCAGTGAACATGGCACTGACTTACTAACTAGAAGTTTAACATCCACTCGACACAAACTATGTCATTTTGGGACTAGCAAATTTTATTTCAATTATTCGAGTTTGTGTAGAGGGCCTTAATGGGAGGAAACTTGAGAACCCAAGTAAACCCTACTCCTTTTCATGTATAAGCGAGGAATAAAAACCATGCTACTTGACTTAGTTACAGACCTTATGATCTAAAGTGCACGCATTAAACCATTAAGCCACCCTACACCCGACTCAGTCTAAGAGACAAGTGCATATATCTAAAGCAGTTAAAAAATGATTGATGCATACAGCCCTTAAAATCATATTAAACATATATTATGCAAGAGCTAAATTATTAATTAGACATTAATTAATTTATCCAGGCTATAATCAACTCTCGATGGCATCAGATTTGTCCGATATTAAATAGATTAGAACAGTTTAGCCATATTTTGAAATTATTGCACATATCTTTTCAAACCTTCAAAGGCTAATATCTTCGCTCGCAATAGAGTAATTTGAATGAAATTTTCAAATTATTCATTTTACATCATCTATTTTCGAACTATTATAGCAAGAATGGCTAGTTCTTTATCTAAATCTTACATATTGTATCTTTAAGTTCAAAATATTAAAGAGTATAATAATTACCTGTTGATTGTTATTGGTTTGTTGATTATAATTCCAGTATAAGAGATCACCAAGATCTTTACCTATCAGATTACTACTTTTATATTTATCTTTTAATCTATCTAAATCACCTGCTTCTTCATAAGCTATTTCTATTAATCTCTCTACGGTTAAAATACATGCTATTCTATTTTCTTTACTCTACAAAAACATTGTAAAACTTTGATCAGAAATGAAATGAAATGAAATGAAATGAAATGGGGTTTAACGTCTTATAGGGATAATGAAGAAGCCATGCAGTCTGCTATGAGGGAAATTTTGCCCAGACAGTGTTGCTACGGACTACCCTTATTTCAAATTCCAACTGTCGAGGGTTCTTCTACGTGTACGCCAATGTGTACATAGTACCTCGGTTTTTCGTACTATCCGAACGATTATACATTGTCCCTTGCCAGGCCCTCCGTCCTACATCACTGACAAGAAGGAACCATGCCGGAAAATCCTGATGAACTTTCTCGGCCAACTCAAGGATCCAACATGGGACCTCCAGGTTAGCGAACCAACGTCCTACCCACTGATCCACCGTGGTTCCATGCAAGAGGATTAACACTATGAACACCATATATATGCTCCTGTATACTGCAGTGTACCAATTTTAATAAAATACCTCAAACTTCAATAAAAAGAAATTCCAGAACACAAAAATAACAGAAAACGAATGGTTGACACACTGGTGGGGGACGAATAATAAACGTTAATTGTTCGTCAGCCATTATTTGAGCAACTTGATCCAACCAGGCAACCACATTATGGTCACACAAGGTGTAAAAGAGATTAATTTGATCTTCAGTATTACAGAAAGTGATGTAATATTCCTAATTGTGAATATTGCTAGTTTTTCATAGCAAACTGAAACTAAGATGAATACTTACTGTCTGAGAATAAAAACAGGAATGAGGATCCACAAAAAACTCTTCGGTTATATTTCTAGGGGAGAACTTTATCCAAGGACAACATTCCTCAGACAATATGGCTTGTAATATTTGAACAATGTGACATCTTTCCCTAAGGAGAAGAACAATATGTGAATGTCAGTAATGAGAATGAAATGTATGAAATTTTTTTTTATGGTGATGGAGGGAGTAGAATTCACACTCTGTGTTTTGGTCAGAGGTTAGACAGAAATGACAATTAGGTACTTCATGTAAATAAACTTATAGAAAGAGAGATGGGGTTTAAAGTCAACTCAACACAAACTAGGTCATTTCGAGAAATAAAACTATTTAAAACTATGTCTAGGTTTAGTGAATTTACCCTTTGAATGCCTTCCAAACATTATAAACTGTTTCATATAACTGTTTTAGATGCTCTGTTTCTGTTTTCTGTAGATTATATGAATTAATCATATGACGAACCCAAGTTTTACAATCTTCAACTTGTTTTGACTAGATAGAAATATAAAATATAAATAGCAATGTAACAAACAGATATCAACATCCAGTGATATAAAAAGGGTTGAATATTTCGTACCTTTAAAGATAATAAGCCTTTACAAAATTATTCTCAACTTTACTTATAATGAATAATTCAGTTTTAAATATTGGTGAGATCTGAAGACAATACAAACGCTCTATTTACCGATTTATGGGCAATTGATAATGGCTGATCAACTATCTTCAACGTAGTCTTAGCACAGCAGTACAGACGAATTCTAGGAAACTGAAAATAACAATTGATTTATGTTGAAAGGTGTCAATACGTTTTTTTATCTCTATTATGTTTCTTTTTCACTTGCTCACAAAAATATTAAAATCTGAATTCAAAGGCTATTCAAACTGAATATTTAGTTTCTGGTATTCAATGTCAATTAAAATTAAAGGAATTTGTGTAAAATGAAATATATGCTACTACTCTGTATTAATTCAATAAAATCTATTAATATTCAAAACTGAACAAAGAAATAAAGAAAAATATCTTCATTTGAATGATTTAGTTTCTAAAAATGTTTAATATGCATTAAAAAGGCTCTATACAAACTGAAGCTAGGTTCCCACTATCAGGATTCGTGCTGCAACTGAAATCGTGATTTTAATCGTGGAGTAATTGTGGTGATCCCATCAGGACTTACCATATATTGAGGTCAGTCGTAGCAATCGTGGTGATCATATCGAAACGTATCCGAAAGTATCTGAATGTACTAGATCGTGGACTCAATAGGGACACTCCTATTGTAACACATCACACGACAATGGGAGAGAGAGAGAGAGAGAAATGGAGTTTAACATCCACTCGACACAAACTAGGTCATTTCGGGACTAACATATGGTTCAATTTTATTTCAATAATTATTTTGCGCGTAGGGGTCTTTAGCAGTGGGAGGAAACCGGAGGCCCCGGAGAAAACCCACGAGGTTGAACAGGCGACCCTACTGCTTGTCACGTACAACCGGGGAATTGAAACCACGCCAGTTGACTCAATGACAGGCTTTATGATACAGCGTGCATGTGCTAACCATTCGGCCATCCAACCCCCCTCACGACAGTGGGAACCTAGCTTTATGATTTTAATTGAATAGATTGACTGAATGCTTTTCGAATAATGCTTTAGAATAGTTTAATTTTCACTCAACACAAATGAGATCATTTCGGAACTAACATATGGTACAATTTTATTTCAATAATTATTTTGCACAAAGGGATCTTTAGCACTCGGAGTAAACTAGAGGATCCAAAGAAAACCCACAAGGTTATACAGGCGACCTTACTCCTTGTCAAGTACAAGTGTGGAATCGAAAAACTATGCCACTTAACTCAATGACAGACCTTATGATCTAAATATCTCATGTAGTTTAGGCCATTAAATAAGCCCCAACTCCAGTGAATAAGATAATGGGGTTACATATATATCCACACTAGTGGATGACCCGGTGCTGCACCCGGTTGAAAGTAGTATAAGTAATACTACCCGGTACAAGCTACCCTATACACCAAATTTCAGCCTCGGGACAGCCCTAGTGTAGCCACCAACCCTGAACAGACAGACAAACGACAGTCACAAATATTAGTATAGATTTACCTCTGTACCACCACCATGGTGTACATTATGTACCACTATTTTTGAACCAACTTGTAAAGAAGGTTTGTTTTCAGCAGATGGTAAATAGCTTGTATATAGCCTGAAAAAAAAAGTTTGAGAAATCACTGATGACATCTTAAAAAACTGTTACGAACAAAAAATGTACAGGGAGATCACAATATACACTTACAAATAATTCAACACAATAATTACATCCTACTGTTGTGAACCACCTAGGATAATACAGACATGCATACTCCATGCAGTGTACGATGAGGAAAAATTTGCCCAGATAGTAGCATTTCTAGCACTTGAACATGTACACAGGAGCTTGGTTTTGTCATACCATCCAAATGACAAGACACTGTACCTTGCCAGTCCTCCATCCTACACCACTGACAAGGACAGAAAGAGAGAAATGGGTTTTACCGTCCACTTGACACAAACTTGGTCACTTCGGGACTAACATAATATGGTTCAATTTTATTTCAATACTTCGGTTGTGCATAGGGGTCTTTAGCAATGGGAGGAAATCGGAGGACCTGGAGAAAACCCACGAGGCACCAACAAGGAGAAAACACGCTGAAAAAACCTAAGGAACCTAATCAACTTCAGGAATAAAATAAAGACTGTAGAGCACAACAGATAAATAATGCTTACAGAATATTGCCATCTAAATTATATATACCAAATTCAACACTTATAACAGTTTCTATCACTCCCTAGAAAATATAACAAAATTAAACAAATTAAAATGGGCTGAATTATGAAGCTAGTTTATTCATAAATATTGTAACTAATACTTTTTATTTTCATTTATATAATTTCAATATAATATTTTATTTTGTTTCATTATTTTATATTCCCAATTCAAGACTTTTGACAAAGAATAAAAAAGTTAAAAGACTTTTTCATATCAAATAATTATGTGAAGTGTAAAAGAAAAAAGTTCAATGATATTTGAAAACTATGAATTTCATGGTCATTCACACGAATCATTGTCAAATATAAGCGTAAAATTTTACTACGAGTTAAAATACTGACCTGATATGACACAAATTTACATGATGATGTTACTTCTGGAATTACAACCGATAACAATAACCTGTCTTCATCGACCAAGTTCTCTTTTAACCATTCCTATATATATGGAAATCAATAAATGTAATGAGGATTGTCTCCTTAATATGCCCACCAGCAGCAAAGTCATCTTTGCTAGCTCTATCATCATATACAATGAATCAACCAGGAGCTAAAAAAAAATTCCAGTCCAGTCCTGCACCACATTCACAAGTTTATGGAATCAAAACATAATCAATGATATAACTCTGCAGTTAACAATTCTGAATTTCGATCATAGCCTGGATTTCTTCCAGCAATTCACCTTCTATCACATTTACAAAAAATAAAATGAAAATCAAAAAACAGCACAGCAAAACTCTTTCATTTTCAATTCCTTATGCCCCTAATCACAATTGCATCGACAACTCTATCATGTATCTGGTTCACAAGATTTAATAAATTTGGGCGTAATGAGAGGGATAACTTGAAAGGATCAAAATATTTCTCTAGATTGGCATAAGATAAGTTTGCTCCTTATGCACGAACCAAACTACAGACCATATTAAAAATAATGACAATGCTCCCTTCCTCCGGATCAATCCATGTCTAACATCTATAACAACATTTTAATTACACAGGTTTATAACTTAAAGATACATTATGGGAGATTAGATAAAAAGCTGGCACTTCTCAATATAACAGTTAAAAACTAGATAATGTAAAGGGAATTTGCTAAATATTTTAGTCAAATTGATCTACTCTGAACCGAGAATTTAGCAGTTGAATTTTAGGCCTAGCCTTGATCATCATATTTTTTATTTAATCATCAATGAGCGTTGAGCAGCAGATCAGATTCCAATCCAGTAAATATCGCAGTTATGGTCTGGATAAGTTAATTAATGTCTAATTAATAATTTAGATAACATTTCAGGCCTAATGAAAGACCTGCAATAGGCAGATTTAGCTCTTGCATAATGTATGTTTAAATTACAGGTTTAAAATATAATATTTATCTTACTGTTAATTTGTATGTGCTGATATGTTCTTCAATTCTGTAAACATGACTTTTAGATGATGGAAGGTAAATATTAAATGGTATTTCAACACCCTATCATAAAATAAAAACAACCAGGATTATGTATTTTGTTTTATTTTATTATGGCTAAATATGCAATTTAGAAAAGGATTTTAGCCTTCTGTTCTCCACATTCTTTTACCTACACTGACGGAGTTTACAAAGATGATATTTTCTACTGTATCTAATCCAGACAATTAACATATCCTGTAAAGCTTGAAAATATTACAGGCAGGAGCAACATATGTTATAAATTTAAAGAAGCAAAAATAAAACCATAAATATACCTTCTTCAGTGATGCCGGCTTAAAAGAAATGAAGATATAATCATTACCAGGTATTAACCATTTATGACAATTTATAAGTTCTTCTCTCTGAAAATTAAAATTAAAAGTATATAAATTATTTACAAATCAAATTCCCATTTTAATCTAATATGTATATCTTATTGCAGTGTTCTCTGAATATAAATTTGATGAATTGTTAAGTAACACTTACCATTATCATTATCTTCAATATATCATCTAATAATATACAATAAAACTGATCTTTTCTTACCCTGAAAACAAAGAAAATAAATAATGTAAAGTGTAGTTTGTAGGTTACCTACAATAGTTTAATCAACATTTATTATAGTAATTAATAAACATTTATTATATTAAAGGGGAATTATGGAAGATTAGATAAAGAGCTGGCAGTTCTCAATAGGCCTGAAATGTTAAATAAACTATTAATTAGACTTTTATTAACATGAAAAAACTTTAATCAACTCTCGATGCCATTTTATGTGTCGGATTGTCACCGGATTTGAATCCGATCTGCTTCTCAACGCTCATTAATGATTAAATCAAAAAATGGATAATCAAGACTATGCTTTTTATCGTACTGACTTTAGAAATGCCTAAAATTCAATCATTAATATCTCGGTTCAGAGTGGAGCAATCTGACTAATCTTTCATAATGCCCCTGTAATGGTCTTTACTGCAAATAATGAACCTGATCTGAACGGTTTATACAAGTAAACAGATTTTTACAATCACTTTCACATAATTTCTTATCAAAGAAAAATAGATAATGTAGATCATGTATACTTTACCTGAATACTTCACTTAAAGATGTAATACAGCCTTTTATATTTACTGTTCCATGTTTGATATTGTGTCTGAAATAGAATATTTAAAGTCCGAAAAGAAATCTACAAACTACAGTTGTTGTTTCTTTTCTCATTTTAAAAATCAATCGTATCTGGTTCCCCATGACATTATTGCAGAGTGTAGACTGTCATGTCCAAATTAAGCTTATTTCTATTTTTTTTTTAGTTAATTTTCATAACTTTTTTTTACCTATTTTGTAACAGTATGTAGGCATCCTTAGCTGACAAAACATTTTTAGGGCAATTTGATAGTAAGTTTGAGTCAACCTCCATTTGAAAATTATGGTCTTTTTATCACAAATGAAGGAAAGGATCTTCAAGCTGTGAACCGGTCATTTATCCATTCTGAAAGAGAATTTAACAATTGGTGTAGCAAGATTTTTAAATGTTTAAAAACATTTATATTTATATGTTGGGCTCCATTAAGAAGTCCATCAATTGTAAAATTCTCTGCAACATATATAAATGGGTAAATTTTGAAACATAAAAATGTCTGTCAAAAGGGCCGACATAAATTATGTTTGATGCAGGTGTCTATTATTCATGGCTGTGTAGGCCTAGGTATAAAAATTAAGTTTGATTTCTTAATTGCTGTTTAAAACGTTTATTTATTTCGTGGCTGCATAAAAAGTTTGTCTTTTTAATGGCTGCATAAAAAGTTTGTCTTTTTAATGACTGTATAAAAAGTTTGTCTTTTTAATGACTGTATAAAAAGTTTGTTATTTATGTAATCACCGAAAGGTAATTAAATACTTTCATTACTTTTATTGTAATGGTGGTAATAATGGTACCATAAGTAATTAGGGCTGTGGTCATAACGGACATAAACCATATAATGGTCAAAATTCACTTTGGTCGAAACGATCATGATTTGGTCTTAACAGAAAATATTTTGTCGTAATTTGGTTATAACGGCCAAAAAATATTAATATATTGCTAAAACAATACATTTTACAAAGTCTTAATTTTTCTTTAAAGATACTTTCCCACGAATAGACTGGGTAATATAATGGTATATATGGACTAAAAACATATTTAAACTAATTAATTTGTCATAATTTTGCTTCAAATCCTTTTCAAACATTGTAATTGCGAAGGAATGCCCTGCTATAAAAATTCGATCAAACCAGGTCATGTTTACGTCACGTGACTTAGGCCTACCTCTCTTGGAAGTCAGAGGAGAATTCATTGAATACATAAGACGATGTTGTCTTTAATCACTTACTATTTATTACAAATATCGAATCCAATTAAATTATCGGATTATCCACTACCCACTTCTTTTTCCGTCATTTTTATCTCAGAAAGTGTTGTACGTCTAACTCTTCATAAAGTTTATCAACTTGTACATCAAGCGCTCAATGTTCGCGTGTGACCTTTCACATCACGCGTGCAGAAATTCCTAACCGTCGGGCTGTCGATTATGGGAACCCTTACATTTTTGTCCTGTATACGCTCCATGAGTGTTTTTCGGGGAATCCAGTATTGGATATCTCTACTTTCCATATATACCAAAATTGCCAAAGGGCCCACTTTTATTGGAAATAACCACCCGATAAATACTTTTCTGGGAACCCATCTTTAATAGAAATATCTAGATCCACTGACTCTTTATTATTTATTTCAACATTTGATAAAAATAACAATTTTGAATATGGTTTCAACTACTGTGTGAACCGTCATAAATTCTAAATGGATTTCTTTGATTATGAATGAACTGTATACTTAATAACAATAATCAAAAAGTTGTCTATGTGTTAAAATCACCTCCAGTTAAATAAAGTCCATTGTACAATCAAATATCCCAATGAATAAATAAGTTATCTCTTGAAAAGTCAATGTGTTTGCTTGTATTTTCGACGAGTTCATCAAAATATTGAATATGTTATGTGGTGAGCAAAACCATCGTAAGATGTTGAAGGAGGATAAAGGATGACACATTTTGACAAGTTCCATATATGTGTTGCAATCAAAACAAAACGTGATCATTTGATTTTTGGCAACAAAAAATATCAACTAAAGGCTATTAGGCCTACCGTACAATGGAGATTAATTTTGAAACAATTGATTGTCAGTCTACTAAATTTTATTGATACTTATGGTATCATGTCGTGATGTCGGGTTGTCGCCTTATGAAGGCATTATAACCCGACACCACGACAACCCGACCTCACAACTTGTTTAACCCGACACTACGACATTTTCACCTGACATCACGGCATTAAGAATGTCATAATGTCGTGTAAAAATGTTGTATTGTTGCTTAAAAATGTTGTGATGTCTGGTTGTCGTGGTGTCGTGATGTCGGGTTGTCGACTTTATTTATCAATGTTGAAGCGGCCACGAGATTAAGTCAGCCCTCACTATCTTATCCTTCACTAAGAATACTTACCCTTTACTAACTGCGAATCAAGCTGGCCCTCACTACCAAATTACGGGTCTTAATACGAAATTCAAGATATCATGCTACATATCAGTAGAAAGCACGTTCACCCTTCTTTTCAAATATATAAATAATTTTCTGGCACATTTATATGTACTTGCCTTGAGAGGTGATCAAAGAAGAATGGTACAAAAATCTATTAAATGATGGGGGCTAAGGGTATTCAAAGTAAAAATACGGGTCTTAATACGCAATTCCAAATATTATGTTATATATCACTGAAAAGCACCTTCATTTCTCTTTTCAAAGATATAAATAATTTTCTGGCACATTTATATTTACTTACCTTGACAAACTATCAAAATTGGATAATATTGAACGACATCATGACATGATACCAATCAGCCACTAATAGATACTGAATATATCACAGATAACTTACATGGATACTCGTATAATAATGCTTATCACATCATTATCATAGCATAATTGTACACACCCTGTATATTAAAGCAAGAATTTCAAATTTTCTAAGAAAGTCAAAACATAATTATTTCTATGTCTTTTGCTCAATAGGTTATCAAATCACTATTATACGATCATGGGCATTATTTCCCACCCTTAAATATCTATGACACAGAAAATAACAACACAATTACCTCCCCTGTTTTGCTATTGACATGGGGCAGCCATTTTCCAACGTTGGAATTTGAAGTTAAAAATGATATTTTTGCCAATTTTTCAGCTGGCAATAGCGAATTATAGGATTAATAGGATTATTCTTTAACAAGGTAGGACTGTTTATGGATACCATCTATTTTAAGGCTTTATTTTAATACATTTTAAAAATATAACTTGAAAATTTGCAATTTCCGCTTTAATAATATATATTATTATAAATATTACATCCCTGATTAATTAGGCTACTTTGTGGCTAAAAATTTGAAATAAACACACATTTCATAAATAAAGGTCCACAAACAAATTGTGGATGGACGAACGGACAGGGGCGACGACAATATATGTTCTCATGCAGGGGCGGATTGGGGCCGGGAACCGGCCCGGGCTCCCGTGTCGGAGAGGTCCCTTTTACCGACCGCGGAGCGATTTGGTGGCATATGCGATTTGGTGGCATATCTGATTATAATCTCTGTCAAATTCAGCCAGCAGACCAGCTATCACCAAAATTTGCTGGGGCCTTAAAATTGAATTTTTTGGGATATACGAACCATTGGTAGACGTTTCTGGCGTACCCGCCCAAACAGGGTGCAGGTGATTTAATAATTAGTAAATTTGCGAGCGACAGTGTCGGCTGAATCCGATGAAATTTTCGGATGAAATTCGGAATCCCCATTGCAGGATTCCGAATTTCGGCCCACACCCAGCAAACCCGGCCCAGAAAGTCTATTATACCAGCCCATTCTAGACTCCAGTGATGGCGTGGCGGCCCGTTAAAGCCACCGGCCACATACAACATGATCATCATCGCTCCATGGCCGGTCCACTACCCCCGCCCCCGCTCCCCCCCCCCCATAATGTTCAGCAGAAAAAGGATTTTTAGACGAATTGGGCTAAATTATTTTTTTCATTTTTTGTCCGATCGCCCTATGGCCCAATCCTCCCCTGTTCACATGAATGAAAAGAACCACAGGTACCGTTTCGATAGACATGCCCACATCCCGATTCTAACATGTCACATGGTAAAGAAAGGTTATGTCAGTTTAAATTAAAATAATTATAATAATGACATAATAATTAAGTAGTAATCAACACAATAAATTAAACAGCTCATTATTGAGATAACCCAGGGGTCAGAGGCAGAAAGTTGCATGCTGATTTGGTCAATGGTGCCAATTCTCATAGCATAAACTATAAAAATTGATAAATGTCAAAATATGGTTCTAGTTCTCAAAAAATATTTAATTTTACCGCCATCTTCAAATGACAGTTACCTCCCCTGCAAATTATTAAATTGTTTTATCTTTTATATTAATCGAGACTTCATACTTGACATTCAGGTCTATAAAACTACTTCCGGTTCCTGACGACGTGTTAATCTCGAAGGAAGAAGTAAACCACTAGGAGAAAACGAAGTTGATTATCGAGATAATTATGTGGTTATAGCAGCTGTTGCTTATTATTAATACCATACTGTCTACAAGTCTTTAATAATGAGGCTATTTATCGCTTTAAATTTGTGTTTATTTGTATGCTTTGGACACTTGTTTGTGCCTATAAATTCTGATTCACAATCACATTCACGTGATGACAACACGTTACCAGTCGTTGTAAAATCTATTGATAATGCTAATAACAAAGACGTAGCGGAAACAAAAACTGTTAAACCTGAAAATCCTACTGATAATTTGAATCTGATTAATGGCACGACTGACAATAACAAAAACTCAACAGTTGACTGTAAAAACGGTCAAACGAACTGTACTAATGACAAAAAAACATTATATGGTAAATTCATAACCAAGATTACCGAAAACAAAGGCATGTTATTAAGGACTATGTATGTGTTAATAGCACTCACGTCAATTGTTGTCATATATTTTATGGTAAGGTCATTTAGGTAAGTTTTGACTTTTTATATGCTTTTATTAGTCTCATGAAATATTTCCAGTTTTCATCCATATATGGAAATGATTTACTGAATTTAATAACAGATTCTTATCGGTTCTGGCCTCTGTCCGTTACTGCCTCATCCTATACACAACTAATATGAAAATAAGGCTCCGCCCCCCCACCCACCTCAGTTCTAAGACTCAACGTCTATTCTTCACTGTCAAAAGGAATCATTTCTAGCGACATGCGACACAAATTTATAATAATCCAACACTATTTGCATGTAGAATTTAGCAATCCAAAAACACAAACTAAGATTGGTTTGAATTGATCCAGCATTGTGAAACTCAAGGTGGGGGGGTGGCGGTATTTAGTCAGAGTTTGCAGCCAAAACTGTATATGGTGCAAACATTCTGCCGACGAAGATGTGTTTGGTCTCCATGGATCTATTTATTAAATATAAATTGGGTCATTTTTGATAAAAAGAAAGTGTTTTATGGATGGGACAAGAAATAATCTCAGATTGCCTGCCCATATCTCATTTATTTCTCAACGGTTCTTCGTCAGGTTTTGATTTTTGGATTCTTTGGACAAATCCCATGGGCTCTGACTGAGGCTTTTTCGAAATTCTGAAGTTTTATCTTCAAAGATTTGCAAATATTTTCCTCAGCATTTTTTCGATAGTATTTGAGGTACTCTCCGTTGAGGTAAGTTGAAACTTGGCAGGAATACGGAAAACATTGATCCCTTCAAAATGACATATTTATAACTTTTGTGGCTGCTTCCGTAAATGACCGCGGCCCTCCGATTTTTCACGAACATGAATAGTTTTCTCCATATTAAAAATATACTAATGACATATTATGGTGGTGTTAGCTCCAGATATTATCTTTCATTTTCAGAGACCTTGTTCCATAACATTTTTAACCACTTTACAAAAATCTTCAAATCGATATTCAACCGCCATTTTGATTCCGATTTTCGAAAAAAAAAATTGTTTTGAACCTACTCCAAATGGCAACAATTCTTAGTGAGCCGATTTTTTTATTTAATTTCGATTTTTGTTTAACTTCGAAATTTTTTCAACTTTTGGCCTATCTGGTGTCCTAATATTAACCATTCAATGACCCCTGACCTTAGCATATACATGTACATGGTAAATCTATGCCCCCCCCCCATACATAGTGTATCAGTGTATTTAATTGCATTTATTCTGACATATTTTCATATTTTACAAGCATTTTTGACCTTTAACGCTGGTAAAATATTATAGCAGGTTTTTTGGGGGTTTTTTGAACAGAATTTGTTTTTGTTTTGCATTTATATCATAAACTTGGGGAGCAACTTGGATATACATGTACTGGATAAAATATTCAATATTTTGATACACACTAAAAGACAATAATATTTGTAAATTTCTGGTACTTTTTCTGCTGGTTTTCTATTTAACTATGGTCCTCCTTCTCTTAATATTACAAAAACTGAGATTGGCATGGGCCAGTGTTACCTAATTTTCACATGGAGCATGTAGGAACCAAAATAGCCAAAGTTTTACATTGAAAATTAGTATGAACAGGAGTTAGTATTGGCGACAGGTACATTTAGGAACACACAAATTGGGTTACTTCATTAAACCCAAATAAATACAGTAACAGTTGTTGTTTGCATTTTAATGTGACTTGCAATATTCACTGCACACAACTGTGTTTATTGCAACAGGTGGTCCAGCATTTTTATAAACTGTTTAGTTACCCAAGCGTCTATAATGGACAATTGGTATAAATTACACATTTGAAAGGACACTCGTACTGATTAGGCTTTTATTTAATTCAGGTGTTAATTTGATTTGCTGTTATAGATAGAATGTGGATCTTTAATAGAATATTGAAATTTTACTCCAATACATGTAGGCGTACATTTAGCTTAAGCCATTGTTAGTGTGTACTTGTAGTCTTGTAATGCAAACTGTAAATAGTTTTTATTTAAAGAAAAAAAAACTGGAATTAGTGAAGAAACTTAAATCCTGTTATAGATAGAACATGTATCTTCAATATTCTTCAATACATGTAGACTCCAATAGTATAAGCCATTGTTGGTGTGTAGTCTTGCATTGCAAACTGTCATCAGTTTTTATGTAATGAAAAAAAAAATGCTGGAATTAGGGAAGAAACTTAAATCCTATTTACTATATCAAAATTGAAATTTGATCATACATAATGCAGAGTAATCTTAGTCACCGTGGTAAATCAAGTTATATATGGTACATAATATGTACAACATATGAACACAATTTCCAAGGTTATATGTTCCACTTCTTTTAAAAATATATCCTACATTTATTTACTTGGATCATTCGTTGTTATCCAGGCTGTTCAGTTAACATATTTTGAAGGTTAGCCCAGTGGACTGATTTAATGTCTTGTCTGAAAACAACCTATATTCTATTTCAGTTTAGAATATTTCATTATCTAATTTGTAGAAAAATTGTATCAGACATTTTCTTCAAGAAATATGCATGAGCCAGTTTATCTGCTAGTCCCTCAGAAATTTTATTGATGAGATTAATGAACTAATGGTAATTTAGAACAGTGTTACCTGTATTTATGCAAATATATATTATATTTTATAGATCGAGACATAAAAGGAATAAGTCTCGTAAATATGGTTTGATAACCACACCTAATGATTTGGAAATGGCACCATTGGATCAAGATGATGATGAAGATGATGATATGACAGTGTTTGAGATGAATGGAATGAAGAAATAGTTTATATGCATGTAAGTTGGGTATTACATGCAAGTAGAAATGGTTTTCAAAGGGTGATGTGTAAGAAATATTAAATGTCATTTTTTTTCACTGAACTGGATAGGTATGACTATGACATGTATGAGAATTCAATAAAAATAACAGATTACTTGCACAAAATGTTTTTTCATGTAGCCGTCAAATGCAGTGCCTCATTTTGTGCAAATGAATAAATATTCTGTCACTAAATTAGATTTGCAGAGCTGTGTTATCCCATTCTGTTAAAATTACGAGCACATGAAAT